ACTAATTTGTGTATTTAACGGTAGCAATTAGTCTTTGAGCGCAAATTAGAAAATGAGTATAATTCATGGGGTAGAGTGACTGTTATGTGTAGAGTAAATCACAATCGCCAATTAGATAAATAAAACGATTATCATAAAAAGTAGTAATATCTCCACTGCTTTTTTGTAGTAGAGAGGATCCAAATTGTTATAGCTCCTTTTACACCTAACATGTTCCCACAATAATGAGAAAACTTATTAAAATTTTAGAATTGGTACAGTGTTCGATTTGTATTGACCTTTTAACCGATTGTTCTGATTTTTGCGGTTCCCACTGGTAATGTGTATTGTATAATGAGACGCATGTTATGTTATCCAGGGATCGATTATAATGATACATTGGTCTCCAAATGCAAATGACAATTGAAACTGAGATCAACTAAATTTGATCCATTATGATGTAGTTTTATGGTTGGTGTTGTTTCTGAACTGTAACCCAAAGTGAAATCTTTCATGCGAGTGTTCAAAGAGATCCGGTATCCTCGTCAGAAAAAAAAAATTTACTACTTTGAACGCAATTTACAGGACAAAAAATTCATGGGATCAAGTGTATCCATGGTGACCCATTATTTTCTTGAGATTTCCTCCAAGAAATGTGGCTTAAAAAGTGACGTGTCATCTGTGTACTTGGTCCCCATTGTTCTAAGACGTCCAAACGTAATTTCTTCTTTTTAATTATAACAACTTCCGTTCCTGTGGATTTCTTTTTTGGGAGAGAATTTAGGATAGTAAGCAACTTACTGTAAATACTAATATACTGTCATATATGGTTCAATTTTAGAATCTTATAATTTGTAAATGTAGCTGTAAGTGTTCGTTTCGGAACTAAGGTTCCTTGGGTTTGCAATTGAAAATGTTCTGCTCATGAGCTATGTTCAAATCCGCATAATCCGTCAGTTACATGTAAGATGTCCATGTCTACATAAATAGATGCTTGCAATTGATTCAAAATTCCCTACTTGTATGTGACGACAGTTACAATACTAACAGCTACAGAAGCCAAATATGTTAAAAGATCCTATAAATAACCTCTATAAAACATCAAAAAAGCCAGCCCAATATCTCCTCTTCGCTGCCAAGTCCAAGGATCCGAACTAAGCTGATTTCCCAACTATTTTATAGAGGATTAAGGGGTGTAACCGCCCCCTTAATTCTCTCTATAATGGGGTTGAATGGGGTGTAACCACTCCTTAATCCGCTCCTAAGTGGGGCGGAAATCCCTCAAATCGTGGGTAGAAAATGGTTTCTGGAACCGTTCAGTTCGTGCTTTGAACGAGTCAAATATTGAAAATAACGTTCTGGGCCCGAACTCTGCGTTTTAGACTTGAAACGCATAGTTGGGCCTGTTTTAGGCTGAAAACGCTGTGTTCGCACAGCGTTGTAAATCTAAAACGCAGAGTTGGGACGCAGAGATGAACTCTGCGTTTTTGAGTCCATGAATTCTGCGTTTTCAACTGGAACGTTGGGATGACCTCTGCGTTTTGAACTTGAACGCTGGGGATGAACCCTGCGTTTTGAACTTGAACGCTGGGGATGACCTCTGCGTTTTGACTCTAGAACGCAGACATGACCTCTGCGTTTTTACTCTAGAACGTGGGCATGACTTCTGCGTTTTGATTTGAAGAGACCATCAATTTGTAATCTTTTTTGCTAGAGCGTTGTAAAGACTGTCATTTTGTAACCTTCATCTTGGCTCCTTGAAAATATGAGAGTTGTCAGATTGTCACTCCCGATGTTGATTGTGAATGCTGTTAAATAGAGCTTTTATCAGTTGTGGTGAAGGTTATCAGATTGTAACCTTCATTGATCTATGTGAAAGTCTTCAAATTGTAGCCTTCTGGAAGCCGTCAAATTATAACTTCCATCATTGGTGTTTGATGGGGATAAGCTATCTGCAGTAATTTTTAGACAATCTACAATTATGTTTTTGGTTTATAGACCTAATAACTATAGTTTATATCCTTTATTAAGTCTATAAAATAATTTTACAAAGTTTTAAAATATTGTTTAAGTCAAAATATCAAAAACATGTATGTTTAGTTTTTATGTTTTTGGACTATTTTGTAAAATGGTGAGTTTTCGCTTTTGCGAAGTACAATTCCAAAAAATATTTTTATAACAGGTTTATTATCATGTTTACAATCATTTTCCAAAGTTTTACATTTTTTCGAACTTATTTTCTATTTTTAAAAGAGGTTTGAAAATCAGATTTACTATTTGTTTCTGGCTGATAATAACTTGTTATCAGTCGACTGATGAGTTTTATCAATCGACCGATGAACTCGTCTGGAAAGTGCAAAAGTTTTTGTTTTTGCGACTAATAAACTATCAGTCGATTGATGTGTTCATTAATCGACTGATAACTTTAGTTGACCGATAAGCTCTTCAGTCGACCGATGAACTGTTAGCTGCATATAAAGGCTAGCTCATCGGTCGACCTGCAGTTTTTTAATGGCTAGTTTTTCAAGATTTTCAGGTTTCTATTTTTTTTATCTTTTTTCTTTATTTTCTCTTGGTTTTGGGGCTTGTTCTATGATCTTATATATACCCTATTGCCATAACTATTTTCACCTAATCAAAGAGAGTTTTAATCAAGTTTTATAAGGGTTTAAAGTTTGTTTAAGTTTTGTTTGAAGTTTGTTTTGTGAAAAAATTTTCACAAGAGGAAGAGGAGATTATCCATTCTTGTTTGGGCTTCAATCTACATCCCTCCACTCTTGTTTTAGAGAAGTTTTTTTAAACTCGTTATCTAGCTTGTTTATGCTTAATTTGTCATATTTATTTTTGCTAGATTAAATTGAGTTTATATTTGATTTTACTCTTTGTTTACAGACACAACCTATTGAGCTTTTAGTATTTTCATACATAGTATATTTGGGGTTGTGAGATTGTAACATTGAGTTGGGCTTAATTGAGTTCTCACTTTGTTTAGAGAACAAATCATTTGTTGTTGAGCTTTCATTTGTAAGGTCACATTGTCTTGCACAAATACACCAAGAGGAGTGTAGAGATGAGAGACGTGGTCGGTTCCAAGAGGAGTGGGGTCGGTGGTAAAACCTAGAGGTAGGTCGTAATTCCTAACACTTGAGGAAGGTGACACGTGAGTGGCCAACACTTGAGGTGGTATTTGTGTAGTTACAAGTGTGAGTTGTAAAGTTTTTGGTAAGCTAGAAAATCGAGTGTGGAGGTATAAACGTTTTTTGGGTGAGCGTCGAAAACCTGGTTGTGTAGTGGATTCTCCCCGGGAGTGGGGAGCGGAGACGTAGGTCGGAAGGACCGAACTACATGATCATTTTCTTGTGTTTGAGTTTGGCCTTGATGTATTTCTTTTGTACTTTGTTATATTTCACATCGCCATTGGTTCATGTTATTTCGCCCTTGTTTATATTGCATATCCTTACATATAATTGTTGTACATCATTCTTTCTAGGATATACTTGTTAATAAGTTTTAATTTGGCATTAATATCGAATTAGATTAGCATAAACTCTATTCACCCCCTTCTAAGTTTCTTTCAGACACTAGTATTATCAAAATAGCTAGTAATCATGTATTTCATGAGCGCACCAAGCATATCAAGATTGACTATTATTTTACACGTCACCAGTTTATCAGTGGCACTTTTTCCTTACCTTACATCAGATCTCAGATGCATTTGGCTGATTTCTTCACTAAATTCTAGACCTTCCGGCATCATCTCTTTTACGTAAGCAAACTATTGTTGGTTGATCCACCATGAGTTTGAGGGGGGTGTTAAAGTATATGTAAATCCTAGTTTAGTCCCACATCGATTATGTGTAGAGAAGTAGTCTTTTGTACATCTATATATTTGGCCTAGAACCTAATAGAAAGAGTATGAGATTTCCTCAATATTCTGAGTTTAACAAAGTTGATGATTAATTATATGTAAGATAATTATATTTATAATTGAGCAAAATTTGTGTCAACTTAAGTG